TGCCCCTCTTTAGATGAAATGTTCCCTTGGTATCTCTAATTTTCTTGAAGAGATCTCTAGTCTTTCCCATTCTATTGTTTCCCTCTATTTCTTTGCGTTGATCACTGAGGAAGGCTTTCTTATCTCTCCTTGCTATTCTTTGGAACTCGGCATTCAAATGGGTATATCTTTCCTTTTCCTTTGCCTTTAACTTCTCTTCTTTTCTCAGCTATTTGTAAGGCCTCCTCAGACAACCATTTTGCCTTTCTGCATCTCTTTTTCTTTGGGATGATTTTGGTCACCACCTCCTGAACAATGTTACACACCCCTGTCCATAGTTCTTTAGGCACTCTGTCTACCAGATCTAATCCCTTGAATCTATTAATCACCTCCACTGTATAATCATCAGAGATTTGATTTAGGTTGTACCTGAATGGCCTAGTGCTTTTCCCCACTTTCTTCAATGTAAGTCTGAATTTTGTAATAAGGAGCTCATGATCTGAGCCACAGTCAGCTCCAGGTCTTGTTTTTGCTGATGTATAGAGCTGTTCCATCTTTGGTTGCAAAGAATATAATCAATCTGATTTTGGTATTGACCAACTGGTGATGTCCTCGTGTAGAGACATCTCTTGTGTTGTTGCAAGAGGCTGTTGCTATGACCAGTGCATTCTCTTGGCAAAACTTTGTTAGCCTTTGCCTTGCTTCATTTTGTATTTTAAGGCCAAACTTGACTGTTATTCCAGGGATCTCTTGACAACCTACTTTTGTATTCTAATCCCCTATGATGAAAAGGACATTTCTTTTTGGTGTTAGTTCTAGAAGTTCTTGTATGTCTTCCTGGAACCATTCAACTTGAGCTTTTTTGGCATTAGTGTTTGGGGCATAGACTTGGATTACTCTGATGTTGAATGGTTTGCCTTGAAAACAAACCAAGGTAATTTTGTCATTTTTGAGATTGCACCCATGCACTGCATTTCAGACTCTTTTGTTGACTATGAGGGCTACTCCATTTCTTCTAAGGGATTCTTGCCCACAGTAGTAGATATAACTGTCATCCAAATTAAATCCACCCATTCCTGTCCATTTTAGTTCACTGATTCATAAAATTTCAATGTTCACTCTTGCCATCTCTTGCTTGGCCACGTCCAATTTAACTTGATTCATGGACCTAACATTTCAGGTTCCTATGCAATATTGTTCTTACAGTATTGGACTTTACTATCACCACCAGACACATCCACAACTGGGTGTGATTTCTGTTTTGGTCCAACTTCTTTGTTCTTTTTAGAGATATTTCTCTACTCTACCCCAGTAACATATTGGATACCTACTGACCTAAGGGACTCATCTTCTGGTATCATATCTTTTTGCCTTTTCATACAGTTTGTGGGGTTCTCAAGGCAAGAATACTGAATTGGTTTGCCGTTTCCTTCACCAGTAGACCACGTTTTGTCAGAACTCTCCACCATGACCTGCACATCTTGGGTGGCCCTGTAGAGCATGGCTTATAGCTTCATTGAGTTACACAAGTCTGTGATCCCATGTGATCATTTTGGTTAGCTTTCTGTGATTGTGGTTTTCATTCTGGAGAGTCTGTACCTCACCTTTTTTTTTATTTTTAAATTAATTTATTTATTTTAATTGGAGGCTAATTACTTTACAATATTGTGGTGGCTTTTGCCATACATTGACATGAATCAGCCATGGGTTGTACCTTACTTTTTTCAATTGTAAATTATAATGAAGGTTATTTGCCATCAGCATATAGAATACTACCATACTAATCTCAAAAGTTTTATGGTACTGCCTTCTAAGGCTACATATACCTTTACTTACTTAATCAGATTTTAGAATTTGAAAAACAGATATGCATCCCTGTTTGGCCAGTGATTCTTTAATCACATTGAGATAGAAATTTCAGGACACTAGGAGATAGAAACTAATTAAAGGGTTTCACACAGCTTCTATTCCCTATTAAGTGGATGGAAATTCCAAACTATATCTAGGTATTTCCCACACCTCTTTCAGCTCTGTGCCTGAAAGCTGGAATCATCAGTTCCTCCAGTCCAGAACTGACATAGTTGCCTGGGTAAATAGGGCCATATAACAGCTGAGGGGTTTCCTGTGGTCTTAAGAGAGATCAGACTCCATGAAATAATCTTGGTTACTCTTCCAATGAAAGGAGGAGATATTCTGACCTTTTAAAAAAGAGAAGTAATTTCAAGGCTGTAAGTTTTTCCCCTTAGGGAACAAGGCAAGTGTGCTCTCTCTCATCACTTTATTCAACACTGTACCAGAAATTCTAGCCAATGAAATTAGGCAAGAAAAATAAATAAAATATGTGTAAATTGGGAAGAAGTAAAACTATCTCTATTCACAGGGGACATAACCTCATAGTGAACAGAAGATCCTAAAGAATCTACAAAAAAAGTTGTTAGAGCAAATAAATGAATCCAGCAAAGTTTTAGGATGCCAGATGAACACACAAAGCTCAGCTGCATTTTATACTCTAGCAATGAACAACCCAAAAACAAAATTTAAAATTCAATATATTTACAAGAGCATAAAAAAGAATTCAATTTTTAAATAAAATTTAACCAAGGAGGCCAAAACCTGTATATTAAAAATTAAAACCAATGAAACCAAAAATGAAAAAGGAAAAATTTATTGAAAGAAATTAAAGAAGCACTAAGTCAATGGAAACATATTCCATGGTCACAGAAGACTTTGAAAGGTCACAGACTGGAAGATACTAAGACAGCAGTACTCTCTGGAGAATTCTTATTCTAAATGAGTGTTGAATTTTGTCAGAAGTTTTTTTCTGCATTTACTGTGATGATCATATGGTTTTCATTCTTCAGTTTGTTGATGTGGTGTATGACACTGATTGATTCATGGATACTGAAAAATTCTTTCACCCCTGGGATAAATCCTGCTTGATTGTGGTGTATGATCCTTTTAATATATTGCTGGATTCTGCTTGCTAGTATTTTGTTGAGAATGTTTACGTCCATGTTTGTCAGTGATATTGGCCTGTAAATTTCTTTCTTTCCTTTTTTTTTTTGGTGATATCTTTGTATGGTTTTGGTATCAGGGTGATAGTGGCTTCATAGAGTGAGTTTGGGAATGTTCCTTCCTCTGGATTTTTTGGGAAGAGTTTCAGAAGGTTAGGTGTTAACTCTCCACTAAATGTTTGAGAGAATTAACCTATGAAGCCATCTCATCTTAGATTTTTGTTTGTTGGAAGTTTTTAAATTATAGTTTCAATTTCAGTAATTGTGATTGGTCTATTCACATTTTCTATTTCTTCCTGATTCATTCTTGAAAGGATGGACCTTTCTAATAATTTGTCCATTTCTTCTAGGTTGTCCATTTTATTGGCATACAGTTGCTTGTAACAGTCTCTTGCGATCCTTTGAATTTCTGTGGTATCCAGTGTAGCTCCTCCTTTTTTGTTTCTAATTGTATTGTTTTGAGCCGCCTCCCTCTTTTTCTTAATGATTAAAGGTTTTAAAAAGAAAGAATGGCAGTAGTACTCCCTAAAGTAATATACAGATTCAATACAATCCATCCCCAAAATCCATTCAGCCTTTTTTTTGCAGGAATAAAGATAACCATCCTAAAATTCATATGGAACTTAAAGGGACTCCAAATAGCTAAAACAATCTCAAAAAAGAACAGAGTTGGAGGTCTCACACTTCCTGATTGCAAAACATACTACCAAGCCACAGTAACAGAATACTTCCATGACTCCAGAAGTTTCCTTTTGCCTCCTTGACGGTTAGTTACTCTCTCCAGCCCAATGCAGGCAACCCCTGGCTTGCTTTTTATCATTGCTTAGGATTCTGCCTTGTCTAGGGTTTCATAAATATGAGATCAGTACATAGCCATTTATGTCTGGCTATGATGTTTTATGTCTGCATGATGTTTTCAAGATTCATTCATGCCATTGCGTATATGAGTAGTTCATTCCTCTTGGTTGCTGAATAGTATCCCACAGTATGAATACATTACAATTTTATCCATTTATCAGTTAATGTAAATTTTTGTTATTTCCAGGATTGATTTTTTTTTTCTTTTTTACAGTTACATTCAGCTGTATCCAATTCTGGATTTCTTTTCATTTATTCTGTTTGCAACTAACCAGAATTCTTGAATCTGTGAATTGGTGATTTTCACCAGTTATAGAAAACTGTATTTTCATCTGAAATTGCCTCTACTCTACTCTTTCTCCCCTTCCCATCTAAAATTTCAGGAGATGTTTGTTAGACCTACTCCTCCTAACCTCCGTGTTTCTAAATCTTTCTTACCTATTATTTTTTTGTCTCTCCATATTGCATTCTGGATAGTTCCTTCAGGTTCTACCTTCTAGTACACAAATTTTCTCTTCTTGACCTGTTCCTAATATTTCTAGGTCCCTGGCTGGATAAGAGTACATCATATTCTTACTGATTCATTGATTGCAACAGTAATCATTTTATTTGCAGGCTCAAATATATATTCCATGTGTACATGAAGAAATTTAAGAGGAAATATAGCAATCAGAGGTTTTATTGTTATTTTTCATAACTGCAATAATCCAGCTAATCAAGTTTACAACCATAAACGCTGGTGAAAACTGAGTAAAGACATACAAATCTTTTTATAATTAAAGACAGTTTCTCACATTTTTTGACAGTGAGGTTACACTACATTTTCAAAATTTAGATTTTGTATTATAGATTTTGCTTAAACCTCTACAAGGCGTTTTTTTCTAATACTGGTATAAATATTTTAGAAATGTTCACCAAATGTGCAGTGTAATACATAGGTTCACCACCTTTTAAAACTAGGCCAATGTGGAATCAAATATCTTAATATATAACACATACAACATTGTGAGCATTGACCAAACGAGGAGACTACATTAAGGAGAACAGCGGGAAGCTTGTCTCTGAAATCTTGAAGGAAGGCCTCAAAGCGGGAACGCGAAAGGCTAGGAAACACTACAGGTCCCAGCATGCTTTGCGACAACCGTTGTCCACAACCCCCAGAGTGCCTTGCTCGCCGAATGCCGATTTCTCTCACAGGTGGGGCTTGTAGTTCTCTTTGGAGCCAATCCGTGAGGGCGGCGTTAGTTTAGCCAGCCGCAGGCGATTAGGCTTAGTCTTCCAGTTTCGGCGTAGGGGAAACGCTTCGGGTCCTGGGGTGGAGTCTTTGTCTCATCTCTCGGCTACTGCTTTACTCAGGTAAGTGGTAGGGAGGCTACTTCTCCCCGCCGCTGGGGCCTTGCCTTGCTGTCTGGGAGCGACTCGGCTGGGGCGAAGCCGTTTGTCTCTAAGCTCTCGCCGTAGCAGCCGCCGCCCATCCCTCTTTGTGTGCTGGGGGAAGCCGCGGAGCTAGTGGCGGCGGCTGCTGCTGTTGCAGGCGAAGGAGAGGGACGTTACCGGGAAGTTGCTGGCAGGCGGACTCTTCCCCATCCCGCCACCGAACAGGTGGGTGGACTGCCCTTCCGTCCCCTTCTGTCTGCTGTGTCTCGCGTCGCGGCCCTAAGGGCGGCTTGGCCTGCTGACAGTGCCGCCCAGCCCGGCCCGGCCTTGAGAAGGAGAGGCTGGGTGGGTCAGGAAGGCTGGGGCCTCGACGAACCCACTCCCTTCTTTCTGGACCCTTCGGAGGGGCCCCGAGAAGCCTTGAGGCTCGTTGGAGGCCACCTCCCCAAGAGGCCCTAGGTGAACCGCGCCCTCTTGGTCCATACCCAGGGGAGAAGTGACTCCTCTACGCCTTGCTCAACCCGGTGTGTATTGGAAAGTACCGAGACGCGGAGATTGTAGCACAAAATTCCTGAGACTTTCTCTTTCTTGGAGTTTTAAGAAAGTGAATGTGTCAGGCATGGAGGCTCCGGCCTCTCGCAGGTTGAGTGGTCCTGTCAGCTGTATGCCATTATTCAATCAGACTTTGTTGTTGGGCTTTCACTCAAAGTGTGTTAGAGTCGCGCAATCATGTCCTACTCTTTGCGACCCCAACATACTTAAAGTGTGTGTGTGTGTGTGTGTTGTATGTTGTGTGTTATATAGCCCGCCAGGCTTCTCTGTCCATGGGATTCTCCAGGCAAAAATACTGGAGTGGGTTGCCATTTCCTTTTCCAAAGGGATAGAATCCTGGTCTCCTGCATTGCAGGCATATTCGTTACCGCCTGAGCCGCCAGGGAAGCTCTACCTTTAAGTACAGTTTATAGTTATATTTGTGTTTTGCGTCTCTATAGTATTACTATTGCATGGTAGGTTTAGAATTTATAGGAATTTTCTGTCTGACTGCCTGTTTTATCAGATTTCTAGGAGTGAATGCAAAACTGGTAGCTGATTTGCTATGTCTTAGAGCTTGGCTTTTAATGGCAATCCATGTCCTCTGTTTTAAGAGCCAGAGACATTGTGTTAAATTTGAGCATGTGAACATTAAAGAGTTTACTGAGTGCTAATTACTATGCTCAACTGTGAATATTTCCTATATACATCTGTTTATAATGATTTTCAGGTCTTAGTAGTATATATGCTTCTTTTATTTTAAAAGTAGAGTGTACATGTTCTCATTTGATGACCTTGAACTACATGGCCTTTCAAGACAGTTCTCTTCTTGAAAGACAGAGTTGTTTTTTTTTTTTCCATTTATTTTTATTAGAAGAGACAGTTTTAAAAGAGTGCTCCTTTTACCAATTTAATGATGATTGTATGCTTCTTAAGGTTGCAAACATGTCTGACAAAAGTGAATTAAAGGCAGAGTTGGAACGTAAGAAGCAGCGGTTGGCTCAAATCAGAGAGGAAAAGAAGAGGAAAGAAGAAGAAAGAAAGAAAAAGGAAGTATGTTTGATTTTTTAAAAGATAATATAAAATAATTGGATTTTAAGTACTTATACCTTTATTGCTTTCAGAATAGTTAAAATTCCAGCAGTTGTGACTGCACATATAGCACTCTAGGTGAAAAGCTCAATATACGTACTCAGTCTTTTAGGAATATGTTTACTATATAAAGTAAGGGGCATCTGCCTATAATTATTGATAAAATGTGATATAATCAGAGCTTAGTTTGGACTTTGAGCTTATCTGAATATCTTACCAGTCAGAACTGCTAGTTGTCAGAATAATAGCAAAGAGAAATATAGACTAGATTATTAATTGATTAAGGGATTATTTAATTGATTGTCTCTCCTTTGTCATGAGTTGGTCATTGAAATATTTTTACCAGGTAGTGGGTTTGATACTATCATGAAGATGGGCTTAGATACTTAGATCTGATTTTTGGCATCACCATTTTATTATGTATGGCAAATATACATTGACCCTGAGCTAGAGATATTTTACTTGCTCCTGTCTTGAAATGTACATTTGTCCCGATGGAAACTGTGTAGACAGATGTATATATTTTTATCTTCAATGTTTTAAATGGCCAGTGTTAAGATAGTTTGTTCCTAATATGACATTAATATGAAGTTTTTCTATGTGATAGCCTGAACCAGGGGCCCCCAACCTCCAGGATCTAATGCCTGGTGATCTGAGGTGGAGCTGATGTAATAATAATAGAAATAAAGTACACAATGAATGTAATGTGCTTGAATCATCCCGAAACCATTCTCCACTCCCTGTCCATGGAAAAATTGTCTTCCATGAAACTTGTCCCTGGTGCCAAAAAGGTTGGGGACCACTGGCCTAAATAATAGCCAAGACTTCTTGGAATCTCTTAGGGAAAAAGAAAAAGCAAAGGTCCAGTTTATGTGCAGCATTGCTATGATGCTGTAAAGGCCTACAATTGAAGAATTTTCTAGTTTATTCTGAACCTTTTTGTGATCCATTACTGTAAGAGTGTTGGACCTTTAGGTTAGCTATTTGATTAAAAACTGATAGCTGTTTGATTAAAAACCATTCCAAACTAGTACCTATAGTCTTAAACCCTTCAGAACTGAGAGCAAATTTGGTATTTGTTTTCTAAACATGGCCATAAGTGGCTGTACAGAATATCTATTAGATGATTTATATCTAATTTAAAGTTTATAAAACATTACAAGAGACATTAAATCAGTGCTATTAAACAGTCAGTCTAATCGTTATATATTGATACAGTGTTTACTTGATAATACAGTTTCTTTGGCTATTTTAATGAAATTTTCTGATGACTCTTTTAAGTTAAAATGGTATGATAGAATATTATGACTAAAAAAAGTTCACTGCCAATAATTGTATGAGTAATGGTTGTCTTAGCTGAAATAGACTTTTGAGGTGTATACATGAGACTTTTCCCTTTAAGGCTTAAATTTCCCTTGAGATGTTGAGAGTATTGATTTGAGAGTATTGAGGTTTATAACTGGAAGATTTTGCTAAAACTGTAAATGGCTAAAATAAAAGTTGGTAAAAATTTCAGTAATGAAAAGTTTTGTGCTATGCAAGAGTAAATTTTAATTTAACCGAACCATGAAAATAAGACCAATAGTTGATAAAAATAAAACCTTTCTCCAGATGAATTTTTGACAAACATCCTCTACATAAATTTGCATAAGTACAATGAAGACTACATATAGAAGTTTGAGGCACTTGGACTTTTTCAACAAATCAAATTGTTCATTTACTTAAAATTTGTTATGTCTTAAATGATAGTCTTTATTTTTTTTCATAGCATTTTGATATTTATGTATTTGTGAGATTTCCACAATTCTTGACCATGGATAGCAATTTCATATTATAAATTAATATTATAAATTAAATAGAAATTTTTGAACATATCTGTTCAGAATGTTTTTGTGAGAACTTCTTGATTACATATAAAAATGAATCAATTTAATACATATCATTTGGAGATTTTTACTAAAACTATGAGAATGATTTTCATTTGGTGACTATAATGTGTATTCAAAACTAAGCCCACCTCCAGATGTATACAGTGTTAACACATTATTTAAAACATATGTATTTTTGCAAATAGAAGTGTTTCATACCATATGTAAATTTAAGTTTTAACTTAAAAAATTTAGACTGATCAGAAGAAGGAAGCTGTTGCTCCTGTGCAAGAAGAATCAGATCTTGAAAAAAAAAGGAGAGAAGCTGAAGCGTTGCTTCAAAGCATGGGTCTAACTGCAGAATCCCCCATTGGTAAGGATAAGATTATATCTGTCAATAAAAGAGAGGCATAGATCTTACTCAGCTCAGATATACATGAGATGAGTGAATTGATTTAATGTATTTTGTATATCTTTCTTATTTGTGCCTCATAAAGCATTAATTTTATAATTTGTTTGGAATTGACTTTTTCAGATGTGTTAATACATTGTTTATTTTGTTTGTTCAGAAGAGCTGCAAGACTATTTTATTAACATAAGCCAGTTGACTTTTCTTGTTAAATCATTAACTTATTTCAGCAGACATTTGTTGAACTAGGTTTCTGTGCCACACTGTATTAAGCTCAATGATGATTGTGATTCCTGATCTTCTTAACTCTATAATCCTTTCTATAAGTTAAAGAGAGGTATAGTGAATCAAAATTCTAAGTGTACTGATGTTCAAAGGTATAGGAGTGGAAGGAGAAGCTTATAACCTTCTGCTGTCAATGCCAATAAGGGAAATAATATTGGTAGCTGATTTTGGCAGCAGTTTGACTTAACCTTGTTCTTTTTCTGGACTCTTCATTTTTATAACAGTACTAGACCAAAAAGCTGAAATAGTAAAAGTACTGAGGACAATCTTGTTACATATAGACATTAAATGCTTACTTAAAATAATTCTGAACTGGGTGCTGTTACATAATATTTTAGTTTGATGTGGCTTTTGTCATTTAGCATCCTAAAATTCAGGGTTAGTTTGTGGGCTCATTCCATCTAGTCCAGAGGACAGATAACAGAGGATAGTACCTGCTGTATGCCTATTGTTGGGAACGGCAACATAACAGTCTTTAAGTATTATAACTGTCTTGTTAGAGTTACTATTTCTAAAAAGTTTTAAGGTGAAAAAAGCTGGTTACTTTCATGGTCTGGCTTCATTGTTATTTCTCTCAGCTTATTGTGCTGTGCTTAGTCACTCAGTTGTGTCCAACTCTTTGCGACCTCATAGATTGTAACCCATCAGGCTCCTCTGTCCATGGGGCTTCTCCAGGCAAGAATACTGGAGTGGGTTGCCATGCCTTCCTCCAGGGAAATCTTCCCAACCTAGGGATCAAACCCAGGGCTCTCACATTGCAGGCGGATTCTTTATCATCTGAGCCACCAGGGAAGCCCGTGAATCCTGGAGTGGGTAGCCCATCCCTTCTCCAAGGGATCTTCCTGACCTAGGAATCGAACTGGAGTCTCCTGTATTGCAGGTGGTTTCTTTACCAGCTGAGCTACCAGGGAAGCTCTTTCAGCTTATTTGTCTTTTTCTTATTGATAAAATTTGAAGGTTGAAATACTTTAATTTTTATGTCTTTTATTTGGTAAACTTATGTTGCACATTGCAATTTTAAAAGGAAATTAATCAGAACACTTTTATCTTGTTGAAAAAAAAAAATACCCTAGAACCTAAACCAGGTTGCTTATTTGCTGTATAGGCTTTAAGTGATCATTTTTTTCTGAGCCTTGGCTTTGGTTTTCTCCTGTAGGATTTTTTTTTTTTTTCCTTTTCTATTCTCTGTAGGACTTCAGTTTCACTAAATTCACTTGCTCATATTTTTCAATTTATGGCCCACGTCCATCATCTATTCTTGAATGTTCTTTAGTTGTATGTGTGTTTCTCCTTCATTACCCCTCTCCAATTTCATTCTCCTTCACAGTCTTGCATTAAGTACTGGTTCTTGGGTTTTTAACATGCATCCTTTTGATCAGTCTGGCATGTGTTGACATTTTTCCAGTTTTTATGTAGGTATCTGTGTGTGGATATGTTTAATGTGCATAAGTGGTATTGTGCTCTGTGTTTCACTTTGTCTTTTTCCTTTTTTTCAAAGCAGGTTTGTATTTGAGATTTACCCATGTTGTTACTTATAATCTAGTTACTTATTTCTGACTGATACATAATATTCTATCATATACTGTATTTTCCTTATCTGTTCCCTAGTGATTTCTTCTGTCACTTTGCTTTGCTTTCACAAGCAACACTGCAAAGAATATATTCTTTTCCCTTGAAAGGACTGTGGAAGAGTTTCTCTGGAATGTATGCTGAAGAATTGGCTTGGTATGTTATTGTAGACTTACATTTTTTAGGTCCTGCCTACCATCCTGAAGAATAACTAAGTTTATCCTTCTACCAGTGTGTGAGAAAGTAACTGTTTCACTGTATCCATATCACTTGATATTATCCAACTTTCCAATTTTTGTCTACTTGATGGGTGTAAAATAGTATGTCAAAATGTTAGTATACATTTATATTTAAATGTTTAATATACATTTATCTGTTTACAGTGAGAGTGACCATTTTTTCATTTATCTACTTTTCATATTTTCCCTTCTACGAATTGCATATTCATGTTCTTTGTCCATTTACTATTAGGGTTCTTTATCTTGCTGTAGGAGTTCCTTGTATACTTAAGAGAGGACTTATTTGTTGTAGTCTTTTTAAAAATACCTTCTCCTAGTTTATTATCTACAGTATTTAAAAAAAATTTTATTGAAGTATCGTTGACTTAAAATGTGTTAGTATCAGATGTACAGCAAAGTGAATCAGTTATGCCTATACATATCTCACTCTTTTTTAGATTCTTTTCACATATAGTTCAAGTATTGAGAAGAGTTCCCTGTGCTATACAGTACTATTCAGTCATTTCAGTTCAGTCGCTCAGTCTTGTCCGACTCTCTGCGACCCCATGAATCGCAGCACGCCAGGCCTCCCTGTCCATCACAAACTCCCGGAGTTTACTCAAACTCATGCCCATCGAGTCGGTGATGCCATCCAGTCATTTCATCCTCTGTCGTCCCCTTCTCCTCCTGCCCCCAATCCCTCCCAGCATCAGGGTCTTTTCCAACGAGTCAACTCTTTGCATGAGGTGGCCAAAGTATTGGAGTTTCAGTTTCAGCATCAGTCCTTCCAATGAACTCCCAGGACTGATCTCTTTAGGATGGACTGTATGTGTCAGTCCAAATCTCCCAATTTATCCCTTTTTCTTCCCCCTGGTAACCATAAGTTTGTTTCCTACGTCTGTGACTCTATTTCTGTGTTGTAAATAAGTTCATTTGTACCTTTTTTTTTTTAGATTCCATATTTAAGTGATATCATATGATATGTTTTCTCTGTCTGACTTCATTCAGTATGACAGCTTTAGGTCCATACATTTTGCTGCAAATGTCATTATTTTGGCTTTTTGGTGACTGAATAATATTCCATTGCATATATGTACCACATCTTCTTGATCCATTCCTCTGTCAAAGGACATTTAGATTGCTTCCATCATAGTATCTTTTATTGAAACAGAATCCTTCATTAAAAAGAATTATTCATTTGGTTGCATTGGGTCTTAGTTGCAGCACCTGGGATCTTTGCATCATAAGGGATCTTTCCTTGCAGCACGTGGACTCTCTAGTTTGGTGCTTGGGCTCGGTAGTTGTGGCATGCAGTCTCTCTAGTTGTGCCACATGGGCTGCAAAGCGCATAGGCTCAGTAGTTGCAGCACGGGGCTAGTTGTTCTGGAACATGTGGTCTTAGATCCCTGATCAAGGATAGAACATTTCGATATGTTTAAATCTTTTATTTTAATAGTGGTCAGATCTGTCATTTATAGATGACAACTCCCTCCCTTTTTTGGTCTTCTTTTAAAAGATATCCTTTCCTACTTTGAGAATACAAATATAGTCTACATTTTCTTTATTATTTTAGCCTTCACCTTTAGAAGGCAGGGATCCAACCTAATTTTTCTCCATTTAGTTATCTTATTTAGGGTTTTTCTATGTATGCCTATAAATGAAATTTGCCTATAATTTTCTTATGCTCTTCCTGTTCAGTGGCCACCATGGTTCTGGTTTTAAAATAAGTTGGATAGCTTTCTCTTTTGCTGTTTTGTGGAACAGTTGTAAAAGATAGGTATTATCTGTTCCTTAAACACTTGGTAGAACTCAACTGTAAAATTATCTCAGGTTATGGTTTTTGTCCCCAGAGGATAGTGGAGAACAGGAGTTATTCACCATTTCAGTTTTTCTAATGGTTATAGTCTATTCAAGTTTTTTGTTGTTGTATCAGTTTGATTTTTTTTAAAAATAATAAAGGTTTATTATCACTCACAGTTTCTGCCAGTCAGGAATTTGGTAGTGGTTTAGCTTGGTGGTTCTGGCTCAGGGTCTCTCATGAGGTTGAAGTCAAGATCAGTCAGAGCTGAAGGTTTGATTGGGGCCTGAGGATTTGCTTTACCAGCCATGTGATTTGCTCAGTCGCATGGCCAGCAGGTTGGCTTTGGTTGTTAGTGGGAGGCTTGAGTTCTTATCTGTGTGGGCCATTCCATAAAACTACCTGCTTGAGTATCCTTGGCAGCATGTCACCTGGCTGCAGTGTGTCAGCAGTCCCAAGAGAAAGAGCTGGAAAGAAGCTATCCTTTCTATGACTTAACCTTGGAAGTCAGAGAACGTGGCTTCTGCCATATTCTGTCTGTTGGAAGAGAGTCACTAAGTCCAGCCCACATTCACAACGAATTTTGACATTCCTTAAAATCACCAAAATATGTATACAAACTCATGGATCTTCTCATATTTTGAGATGATTATATGCTTTTTATTGCCTTTAATATGTTAATATAGTTTATATTGTTAGGTTTTCAAATGTATAAGCATGCTTACATTTGGAATAAATCCATCTTAGTTATGAGAAAAGACTTTTCTTACATAGCACTTACATTTTATTTAGGAATTCATCTATAACTCAGAGTCAGGCCTATAGCTTTTTTCCTTTTACTATATTTTGTCTGGTTTTATTATAATGATTATAGTAATCTCATTAAGTGAGTTGTGTAGTTTTCCACCTTCTGTTCTCTCACAAATATCTAAAGATCTTTCCAGTATTTATTTGAAATTAGGCCTGGAGAATAAAGGATACAGGCGAAAGCATTGGCTATCAAACTTTCTGGATAGTAACAATAAAAATAGTTTCTGTATCATAACCTGGATGGATACTTGTTTTTCTTTTCACTACGAATGTATTTATTAAAT